TTTAATCGCACTAGACTCAAGAATCTATTAATGTATTGCAGACTAGCTTTTCGCCTAGGGCTCCGCCTACATGTACAAAATTTTTTATCGTGCCTAAAAAGCCTTTCTCACTAAATGGGCTATCTAACAGTGCAACAGTTTTTAAATCGGACTAGTAGTGCCTGAGATTAGCGAGTTCAAACAAACAAACTCTTAAGTTTTATAATAATTATGTAGTATAAATATCCTCTTATTTTTATCCATCCCAAAGCTACTAAAAATACTTTATAGTGCGGTTCAGGTCGATATCGGCCAGTCGCTTTCCCTGGTTCGTGGCTCATTTCCTGTTTAATAGATCTGCGGGCAAATCGAACCGAAGGGACATTCTAACAGACAAAAAAAATTTATACATCGTGTTTTCGCAAAGTTATAGCATTTTAATCTACCCAGTGGTCGAGAAAGACTAATAAATATCGTTGGGGGCGCATTTCAACCGCCGCCGCACCAGATGATGGTTTATGACTTTATGTGCCGCAGCCAAGGTGTGTTACATATGGCAGGCAATGCCGGATTACGAGCAACACACAGCAAGAGTAGCAATTGCTATGGGCCCCGCGCGAACGGGTGCCCCGTATATTTAACCCACTCACCTCTGTCTGAGATAATTTGTGGAGTGAAACTTGTAAGTAAGAGTATTAAATTGTTTTTTTACCATTTTATACTTAAGAACCCATTACAGATCGAGGGCTTTTTGAAAGAATTTGCTACGGGCCTCGCGCTTGCATAATCCGGCCATAGGCGTGTATAGCAGGGGGGCCGGGTGGGCCATGCCCACCCCAGTCTAGTGCCCACCCCAGGATTTTGGGTTACTGATTCGAAATTTTAGGCTGGATAACTAATAAATTTCATAACAAATAATTATCTAGAGCCGAGAAATCTTTGTACATACTTAGTTTTTATTACATACTATTTTACAATATATTCCGTTTATTTACTTATGAATACACAACGTACTAACTACTAATTAGTTAATACTTAGCAGTAATATAAATTAATAAAAATTATCAACGAAAACACAGTGTTTGATTTTTTTTTTTAGTAAAGGTCCAGTCTCACCCGGAAAAATAATTCTAGATTCGCCAATGAATCCGGCAGTGATGATAGTCGATATAGTTCTGAGGTCAACGTATATTAGAAATGTCAAAACTGTTCATTTTTAGGGTTACGGACCCAAAGGGTAAAACCGGAACCTATTACTAAGACTCCGCCGTTTGTCTGTCTATCCATCTGCCACCAGGCTGTTTCGTCTGAACCGTGAGAACAATTGAAATATTCACAGACGATGCATTTCTGTTGCCGCTATAAGAATAAAAAACTACCACTACTACTCCGCTGGCTCAGCGACCAGAAGTGGGTCTCGGCCCCCGATACGAGATGGCGCCATCGCGCCCTACCTTGTGCGATCTCCTCCCAGTTTTCTATATTCAGGGCGCGAAGGTCCTTCACCGATATCTTTCCAGTGGTATCTGGGCCGCCCAACCGGCCGTCGGCTTCCAGGTTCATCATAGGCTCTCTTCACCGCACTGTCTGCCGGCAGTCGTTCCAGGTGCCCAAGCCAGCGGAGTCTCGCGGATTTAACAATAAAATACAGAATAAACATTTTTTAAGTGGGGGCTCCCATACATGATTTTTTTGTCGTTTTTATAGATAATGGTAAAGGGTAAACAGGGAGGCTATTTGAGAGGTGCCCAAAACACAGGAGGTTCAGACTCGGTAGTATAATCGTTTATTGAAATAAAAACCAATGTTTTTTTCAAAAAATATGCCATTCTATTCCCTAAAAAACAGAACTTGTTGACAATGCGGTAGTCATTCATAAATACCTAAATTTTACTGTGCACGAATTTGTGTGCATGTTAGATAAGAATGATCGGGCGTAATATAAATGAGTTGCTTATAAATCAAGCACTTTTTGAGATAAGTTCAAATGAATGTAATTAATTACTTACGAGTGACTTTAAATATTTATCATTTTTTATATAACATGATTTATGTCTAGAATTTAATAAATAAAAATGGATATACTTAGAAAAGCCTCCCTGTATATACCTATACCATTATTTATTTATTTTTTTAACACCATTATTTATACCAATATTTATATTACCAATATTCATATTATCGCACAAATCTTCAATATTGGTTCTTTAAGCAGGTATAACTTTTTTTTATTTATGAACAGATTTAAATAAAACTGAAACTAAATGTTAAGTGAAGCTTACTACAATGCATTAGTGAAAGTTGCAGCTAAATCGGTTAAGCTGTTCATAAGATAAGCGCGCACAAACTCGCAGACAAAAATTTTAATAATTATAGCCCAATAATAGTTTATCTCAAATATCGTCCATGTACCGACAACGATCAATTACATTTTTACTATATGTATTATGTGCATCATATTTTAAGGCACCTCAGCGCGTTTATTTACACATTTACACTCAATTACTAATCTTTATATGGCCTTGGTACCTAAGAGTAATTAGTGTTCTCACTGACAAATTATGGTAAAAATAATGTTTTTTTTCCGAAACGGTAATAGTATTTCGAAAATCAATAAGTGAGCACCTATGTTCAATAAAGATATTTGAAATTTCATTGAATTTGTCGGAAGCAAAAAAAAAGTCGTTGTAATGATAATTATTAATAGACATCTAACATTCAAGATTTTGTTTGGCACGACCTGCTTAATCGCACACCTAAATGGGCAAAAAGTATTTAAGGGCGAAAAAATATTTAAATCTGGGCATGTATTTAATGTCATAAGGACTATATTTAAATGGCTAAGTATAACAACCTGTATTATCTACTGGACACCAAGTGTACTCTCTGGAAAACTATATATAAATTTTAGCGATAAATCAAATCTACTTTTCCGACGGGCGATATTTTTACCCCGGAGAATCATCCTCCGTGCCTAAGACGGCATTGAGTGTTTTACTTCTGCATTTCGTCAGGAGTCAGGTAGATCGGGCCCACTTTATAAAGAGGGTAACGCATATACAACCAGGTTTTGCCAAATGTCTTTGGGCGAAGTAATTGCTTAACATCGAGTAAACCGCCGGCTCTCGCCAACTTTTTGGGTCGGAAATCAATAAGGGGTCAGACTATCCCCTAGTTTTCCTCGTACATTTCCGTATGTATTAAAATACAATTACTATATAACGTGTGGTTAATTTTGCATACATTAAATTTACCTTATAGCTTACCTTATTATCACTACATCTCTTGTAAATATTTTTTGTTATGCGTCGCCGAACGGATTTTTCCTCCAAATAACATGCACCAGTTAATCACCGACTACCAAAAGTTTAGAAAATTCATGAGATTAGATTTCTGAAATGTCCCAGTATGCCTTGCTTAATGCAATGTTCGTTTGCATTTGAAGGTTGCCATGATTACTGCATAAAACCTACGATATCGTCGGATATGACTTATGAAATGAAAGACTGATTTATATAAATTACATGAAAATTAATATTAAAATCATTGTCGGAGATCATTTAATAGTCGGTAACAATTACACCAAGTTAAAAATATTTGAGTTTTGTGGGGATCATTTTTAACGGAAGATCGCAAAATTACCGCAGTTTATAAGTATGTTTTATTTTTTATTACAATTTTAAAATAGGTGTTGTGTTAGAAAAAAACGAAAATTGGTGAGGATATTTTATTCCATAATACAGCACAAGACAAACCGGAATGTCACATTACTCTTTTTAATCTCCTTGATTTCCATGAAAATAAAAAAACCTATCCAACGCACTTGCCACATAATCATATCCCTGAAGTGTGTCAACAATTTCTTCTAAATCATTATAAAAACGCTAATTTATAATTAATTGTGTATGAAGAAAGAGCCCTCGAGTCCTGAGCAGTTTCCCTGTAGAAAGAAACACTTCCCGAATGGACACCGCCTTCGATACATCATAATGCCTAAAAACTAAACATCGGTCCGTCATGGGAAGTCAACTATAAATGCAGGTCCATCACAACAAGCCGCCTCGTCGAAAGGAGAGTTATTAATATGAAATGTTTTCGAATGTAAATTACATAACAGCTTACACTACCTAATTAACTTCCATAAAAATAAACTATCATCATACATTAAGTTCAAATCATAAGCGAAGAATATGCAGAGAATATACCTAAGTGTGTTCGAACATTCGAAACCGTAGGGGTTAAGGAGCTTATGTTATGGGGGCTATGTAGTGGTAGAGGTGCACAGTGCAATGTGAATAGGTTTGGGCCAGGTCGGGACCACACCTCACCGCGCACTCAAACAGCAGACACACTTCAAATCACACAATGGCTATTTCTACAGCTCACAGAATTAGATAATAAGAATAATATTGAATTAAAGTCGCATGTGTGAATTAACTTTAAATACTTTATTACGACAACTTATTCCACATTATAGTATACATATAAAACATGTTATGCTGTGATTCTTTATATCACGAGTCAGCTACGAACCTATCCACATCACAATGCGCGATCACTCGGCGAGTGTACACTGATCCACTGCTTAAACATTTAGTGATAATTGTTGAAAGAAATTTGTAATTATGCAGAACACCGCGCGACATCGCTATATAACCTTTGTTCCGCGCGTTCAGAGATCGAACAAACAACGCATCCCAACACAATGCCACACCAGCGCTAAGTATAGCATGACCCCAGAGTAATTTGTACAATGATAAATAAGTTCCATATTGTTTCGATTGCATATGATCCAAAGTGAAAGTTGCATATAAAACGTTTACACGCGAAAATATTACACAAGAGTTCGGCGAGAATGCGATGCGAGCTCGGTCACCGCGTGACGCATCATTACGATTACTATTAATCCGCACATAATAATACATTGTATTCATTTATAGCAAATAAAGTTAACATATCTTAAACCATAGTCTCTTTCAGTAATCAGATTTGTCTGCGAGTTGAGTGGAGCGCCGTAGTTAGCGGTTGGCGTTCTTCAACTGGTTGGAGAGCCAATCGAGCCCCTCGTATAGCCCGTCGCCAGAGGTGGCGCACGTCGCCTGGATGTACCAGTTGCGGTTGCGCAGTGAGTGCAGGCCCAGCTTGTCCGTGATCTCGGCCGCGTTCATCGCGTTCGGCAGGTCCTACAACATTATTAACATCAGTAAGGCGATTCCTTATTTTTCAAACTCAAGTGTTGGTCGGGACACGCAAGTCTCCGCTGTTGCATGACTGGGCAGGTCCGTCCGAGAAAATACCACAACCACAACCTCACTGAAGACCAGCGTGAAAAGCCAGGGCCCAGTTTATAGAAAGGTGGCACCACATGTGCAATCCTGCAGGTATCGCAAATGTCAATGGGCGGCAGTTATTACTTAACATCAGGTGAACCACCTTGCTCGCTTCCCACCTTCTCACATAAAACAAAAAAAAATAAGCACTGCCCTTACTGTAAGATAACATTATCCAGTGTTATGAGTGTTTTACAAACATAAATTTCAACTGGACAAACACCCAGATCCAAAACATCCATGGGACACACAAATACTTGTCCCATGTGGGAATCCAACCAACGGTCTCCTGCGAAGAATCCAATACCTTGGCAACTGCGCCACGTAGTCATCGCAATTTCGCTCTTCATCCTCAATTCTTATGTGATAACTCAAATCATATAGTGAACTATTATGCGAATTCTCTATACTTGGATAATGTTAACAGACTTTATGAAACCACCACACCAAGTTGCGGTTGGTCAGTAAAGGCCAATAAAGACAATAGAAATATGACCTGTTGAAATCATACTCCAAATGCTATTCATGGGATTCCTCAGATATTGTATTGGCTCTATGAAGCATTATTAAATAAAAACATGGAATAAGTAATATTTGTTCATGCATGAAGGCTTCCAACTTTAATATGCATATTAAAAAATATTTGATAACACACAGGAACAAAATATTTTTTTTTTGTGCAGTGCAAGTTCTTTGGGTCAATTTGGGTACATAAAATATTCACAGCCTATAAATTATTTTATTTTATTTTAAATGACAGCTTCTCATAAGCCAATGTATGCAAAATCCACATCCTTACTAATATTATAAATGTGAAAGTTGTTGTTGTTGTATGCATGGATAGATGTTTGTTACTCTTTCACCCAAAACTACTGAATAGAATTTAATAAAACTTTACAATAATATAGCTTGTACATCAGAATAACACATATAATAATATATATTAGCTATAATTTATAAAGATATTGTGTGAATTGTCCAAAATAATAGGTAATGATTTAAGATTTTAATGCTGTGCATAAATTTTTGAGTGCTATCACTTCACATAACATTTGATTGTATTATTTCATTTATTAAGCATTATGCTTAACAATTTGCAATTTTAAGAAAAAAAAATATGTCTACATAACTTATGTTGATATAGCTGAAAAATTCTGGTACAAATAGGTTAGTGTTAAATTGTATTAATTGCAGTCATTTCAAAAATTTTCCTGAGAACCTGCATGATTACATAGAAGAATAAGCCATTCCAGCAGGATATCTACTATGAATATATGTATACATCTATAATAATCTATTATGTAAAAAAAAATATCACAACCCTTTCAATCACCATGTGATAACAATTCACTGCTATAAAAAAGCCAACACATTTCTCTTAAATCTTTTATTTTCATGTTTAATTATATTATTCCATCGTCATTAACAGCATTTTTAAATATAAAAAAATTTAAGTGAATGTTTTAAAAAAAATTGTCATCATTTTTAGTTTTTTTCCAGCAATGGATTGCCTTTATCTCAAAAACCAGAGTCAAGTCAAAATATATCCATTTATATGCTCAACAGACCAAAATTATCTAAATTACACTAATTTGTCCCACCCTCGCCACCAGTATCCCTTTGTTAGAATAATATTGTAAATAAATAATATACACAGGAAGGGCTTGCGTTCAAAAACATTTCTATAGTGGTAAATGCTTATCTAAACTATATAAATGCATTATTTTTCTTTCTTTTGACTCTTTTGCCATAAAAATAAGGGAAACTTGGAACACATCTTACCTGTTTGTTTGCGAAAATCAGGAGTACAGCATCTCTTAACTCATCTTCACTTAACATCCTCATGAGTTCTTCCCGAGCCTCTCCAATACGCTCACGGTCATTACTGTCTACTACAAAGATGAGACCCTAAAAGAAAGCCAAAAGTTGATATTAACATATTTTAATAAATTTACTTTATTCAGTCTAAATAAATATATTTTCTTCTAAATATATCTACAAAGATTTCTGAAGTAAGTATCAAACAATTTAATCAGGCAAATGCATTTTCTTTTCTTATTCTTATGAACTCACATCTGATCATATAATATCCAAATAACTTTCTCCAGGATAAAAGTTGGCTTTTTAAAATTTTTGATTATCTATAATCAGTTTAATGTGATATAAATGATACAAGGTAATCAATTCTGATGGTTTTATTGAGATTCTGAATTTGAAAATCAAGCATTGATGGCTTATACTTAAGTATTTTGATGGACTACAGTATCATACTAAAGTCAAAATCAATAGTGGAGGTAATCTATTAAATTATTGCATCATTTTATATATGAAACATATGGTATACAACACAAATGTCGTATGTGTCATATAATCTTTATATTCTTAAACAAACAAGCCCTGAATTGACTGGGATCCCAGTTCAGGTATGTGCATTGCATGTAATACACATGCCAATGAAAATGAATTGTTTTCTGACTTCGGACATGGCATGTGGACTTGTTTATGCTTAATTAATGTAAGTGTAGAGAAACTAAAAAAAATTTAAAATGTCGTTTTTTTTATTTATAACTTTTTTAGCCTCTAGGTAACATCAGGTGTTTCTTAATGAGTTTTGTTGAAACAACTCGAGCAAAATTTCAGTTATAAACCAGTTATGATGCAATATCAAGTAACTAGAATTATATTTTTTGCATAATAGTATGTTCCCATTACCTGTGTGTTCTGGAAGTAGTGCCTCCACAACGGCCTGATTTTGTCCTGGCCACCAACATCCCATACAGTGAAACTGATGTTTTTGTACTCTACAGTTTCAACATTGAATCCTAAAATATGAAAACGATTAGAAATTTATAACACATTCACAGTAACAACTTATTTATAGTTTTTTTACATGTCAGCAAAATTCACTTTTTTAATAACCATTTTCAAAACATGTTATATATGCAATTATTTTGCAGCATATAAAGCCAAATACACTTTCAGCTAAATTTTATAACAGAATACATTATAAGAATTATTCTTAAAAGCCCAGTACTAATTAGTTCTCATATTGAGTCTTTAAACATTGCTTTTATTGTTTATCTTATATTTAATCATTTCATTTGATTGGTTTGTATTAAGTTTCAATTAAAAATATAGTAAAAAACCCTACATAGTAGTGGTTACAAAAGAAAATAGGGTTTATGAATTTGGCCATGACGAAAGGATACGCAAGTGTTTGAATTTGGTAAACTGTAAATAAATTTACCACATTGTTACACACAATTTTATATAAATGATTTCTACAAATAAGATGTTTTTAACTTACCAATAGTTGGAATCGTTGTAACGATTTCACCTAATTTTAGTTTATACAGAATTGTAGTTTTACCAGCTGCGTCGAGACCCACCATCAATATTCTCATTTCTTTTTTGCCAAAAAGGCCTTTAAATAAATTTGCAAACATATTCCCCATATTGCGGTTTTGTAGGTCGTCTGGAAGAATAAATTTCAAATATTAAACGCATTCATCTCATTCTGAGTCATCCGTCAAGTCTATGTTACTTTAATCAATGATAATGACATGGCAAGTCCAAGTTAATTGTACATAGTCAATAGTTATTTAGAAAAACTTAATTTAAAGTATACAAATCAACAACAAATTCACACGGCACAGCACAAAACTTGAATAAATTCCTTATTACGACTTTTTAAGACAAAGATTGACACCGCTGTTGATACCTCCGCTACGGTCACCACCCAGGGTTTACGAAAGTGCCAATTATTCCTTATATAATTAAGAAAATAAACTCGGCACATTTACATATACACTTACAATCATACTTACATTTTCAGAAGCAAATATATGAAATATGATGAAAAACGCTACAATTCAATAAAGTCTACAATTCGCTGGATGTCAAAATGGCGGCGAACGTGGAAGTTATTCGTGCTTATGCCACGTATCGGCCAAAAAGTGGCCAGTATCGAAATAGGAGTAACTCAATTATTAATTTTGAAAAGATGACTATGGGTGAAAATACGTCTGCACAGTTATTAGATATTAAAATTAATGACACAGTTCATAATAAGCGTATGGGTTTTTAGTCTAAAGCCAATTTAGTTAAATATATTATTAATAAGTTATGAATAATATTAAGAGATAAAATATATAGAGTTCTGGGAGTTACATGGACTCGGGAGAAAACAATGAAATTGGGCTAGTGCACAATGTCGCGCTTTATTGCAACTCCGCGACCCCAGTAGAGAAGAGAATAAAAATTGAAATTGCGATTCAATTGCGAGACAACGCTCAATAGCGAAACTATCACTTCAAGAAATGATTTCATGAAAACTATTAAAGCAATAACATAAATACAAGCTTGTTAAAAATAATCACTACAAAACAAATAGTTGACAAGACTAAAAAATGCCTGAATTTATTCAGTAATTAGCGTTTGATCGTACACACTCTTAAATAATAGTACCGACACGGGGGATGCTGTATGTAGCCTGCAAATTGAGGACCTTGCATTTTTTAGCGAACTTGATGTGCCTGGTGTATGTTCTATAAGCAGTGTCTGCTGCGCTAAGTATAATGACACACTTCATTACAATTAATACAAATTTGAATTGAGAAAAATCGAAATATTTAATGCAGGTGCTAATTCTTTGTTGAGATAATATAACGTTTATAGTAATGCGCTGTCTTATATGCACGGTTCAAGGTGGTTCGGTGTAAGCTCCGAAGTTAACCAACTTAACGAAAAGTCTTAACACGGCTCACTAAAGAAGGTAGATAATGTAGCTATTTTATGATCACGATGTAATATATGCATTCCTCATAATATATATACCTGCCTCACAGATGCCCAATCAAAAAATCTGTTTTGAATTACTTGAAGTGGTTGCAAGTGGAATATTTTTGCAAATACTGGTTTTTAGCGACACCGAGATATTTCTATATAAGGGTATTCTAAAATAAAATTTACATAAAAAAAAGTAAAGTAACAGCCTATACATGTTCCACTGCTGAGCAAAGGCCTCCTCTATACAGAGGGTATCAGGGCATAGTCCACTACGCGGCCCCACTGCGGATTGGCGGACTTCACATATTTTCGAAATATATATATTATTTTTTTGTTATTATTTCGAAAATATGCAGGTTTCCTCACGATGTTTTCCTTCACCGCGGAGCACGTGATAAGTCAGCACTTAAAATTAAAAACTTCATTGGTGCCGGCACCGGCACCGAACTCAGTTGCTCGAGTATATTGAATTAAAGGCGAGCGCCCGGATTGAGCTATCACGGCTCTAAATTCTTGTTTTGTTATAATAGTTGATAGGGTACAATAATTCACTTCTACAAAGCACACAATTCATATTGATCTGTTATCACTAATTACCATAGACACAGTAAACGTCCATCTAGAATAATATGTGAATCACACTTGCACAAAACAATGTCAACAACGGCTACTTATCGATATTAAAATAAACTGTTATGTTGTTTCTCAACAACTATTATTATAAACTGTTGTCGGTTATGACTGTTGTTGGTTTTACTTAAGATCGTTTAACAGGACTATCATTTCAAGTTCAACACTAATTCTGGCGCTTTTTTCGTTCACTTCTTTGAAGATTTAGAAGTATTTGGGCTTTAATACTATTTATACGAAAGTCACTGTTTTTACAGCAATTACAATTTTATATACAGAATTTTACAAAAGTATTTAAGGTAGATCACGATTCGCGGCGCAGACTTAACGACAACAGTTACTACGAACTGATCATAAATTTATCACTAACTGAATAAAACAATGAAAACATAACAATAACATGTCAATTTTTTTTGTGATTATACAAATAGGGAAGTTTTGTGTAACTTATGCAAATACTAGTGTCAGCGCTCAATGCCTGTTCTTTCGCAGACGGATTGTGAAAATAGTGATAGTCATAATAGCTTGACTGGCAAAGCTGATCTCTATGGCGGTTCCATAGCTAAAGATATGAATTCAATTAAGAATAATATTATTGTTTATAGTGACTTAGGTAATAATATTGGCCCATTAATAAATGAAATTTTTAAGGGCCAAATTACAAATTATTGCATGCCAGGAGCATCATTTAATGACATAATTCAAAAGGTCTTATGTAGTACTTTCTGTACCAACACCATATTAGTGTTGTTGATAGGGACAAGGGGCAATGTTAACAAAGGACAGTTGTTAAAATACTTGGAAAAAAAAATACTAGCTGCTGCCCGCGACTACGTCTGCGTAGAATAGGCTGAAGGCGTAACATTCAGACAGAAAAACAAATATACATAAAAATATGTACATAAATTATAGCCTATGTCTTATTCTGATGTATAAGCTATATTATTGTAAAGTTTCATTAAAATTCATTCAGTAGTATTTGCGTGAAAGAGTAACATACATTCATCCATACATACAAACATTCGCGTTTATAATATTAGTAAGGATTAAAGCCTCGATAGGTCAGTACCTCGAGCAAACTGAGTTCGATCCCCTGTGCCGGCACCAATGAAATTGTTTATTTTAAGTGCCGAATTATCACGTGCTCAACAGTGAAGGAAAACATCTTGAGGAAATCTTCATATTTTCAAAATACTAACAAAATAAAAGTATTTTGAATATATGTGAAGTTTGACAATCTGCAGTGGGGCCGCGTGGTGGACTATGCCCTAATATCCTCTGTACAAAGGAGGCCTGGAGCCAGCTGTGAAACATGTATAGGCTGATACTTTACTTTACTTATGCAAATATAGAATAAGATTACAAACAACATCGTACAATGTAATAATTTTAAAAGAAAATTAACCTTAATCAACAAACGTGATAGGTTATTTTCATATTAAATCACAAAGATCTTATACAAGTAAGTGTAAGTGTAAGGTCTTTGCTTAATCATCACTAAGTGCAAATAGCATATTAAACTCTTATAAACAACATCATAACCAACATCCTCCTGATGTTGGTCTATCCTATATTGATTTGTTGGAATATCCTCTAGGGATACCACCTAGGTTGGTACAACATGTGAATCATGTTGTAAGCAATTTTGGCGTTATTTTTTATGACCGACCGCCGGTCTGACGTCAAACACACTGTGGGTTAAACAAATTTGATACTTGTCCCGTTTGGGAATCAAACCCATTAGTTCCGAAGGCAAATTCAATTTCTTAGCAACGGTACCACCGAGTCATCATCTTACAAATAACATAAAAAATTAAAAGAAAATTAGCCTTAACGTGTGAATCATCAACGTATCGCTTTAGAACATTTAATTTAACGCTAACTTACTATTGGTTGATGTCAATTGAATTCGAAAAAAGTGTTATTGATAACAGCTTAATGAAACTTTAAATAACGTGTTAGACTGGACAAGAATAATTAATTACAGATTATATATTATCTTATCTGTTGTTGTTGCTGTTGTAATATCCTATGAGTTATGAGGAGATAAGACCAACTCCAAACCAACTCTGTCAAACGTAGTGATTACATTCTCTTTGCAACTCTGTTATGACTTATGACAAGTTATAGTTTATAGTGTTTATTTACATTTTGTTTTGAATTTAATTTTATCGTTTATTTAATAGAATATTCATTAATATAAGTCATAGATAATTTGTTATAGGAATTTATTTCGTGAAATACAGATTAAATAGGGATGTGTTCCTAATAATATACCATTAAAAAAAACACACACATAATTATTGATAATGAGTTTATTACAAGGTTGGCTTACTGGTACTCCGAATTTTACTACATTTAGGATAAACAAGTTGAAAAAATTCGATTTAAACAATTTAAAAACCTATTTAGAAATGGTAAGTTGTGTGATACAATAATTAAAACTTGTGATACTAGTGCTGTACCTTCATACAAATATTATTTATGTTTACAGCAAAGTCAAGAATTAGGCATGAAACCAATTCCTAATTTTTACATGTTACAAGAAGATTGCCTGATTGTAGAACAATGGCCTCAGAATGTGAAAATGGAGAAATGCAAAGTCGAAGTCATTGTTGATGTATTATGTGCTACTGCTGTACTAAGAGGAGCGCATGTATTTGCACCTGGAGTTCTGGGACTACCAAGCAGTATGGAATTTTATTAATAACTGAAAAGCAATAAAAAAATAATTAGTCAGAGATTAGCATAATTTCATGTATATTAACATTATTCTAATATTATTACACTCATCATTGTCATCATTTCAGCCGGTCCAAGTCTAATGCTGAACGTAGGCCACACAGACTGCCATAAAACATGGTCCTCCTGTCCAAAAAAAAACATTTGTAAAAGTCATCACTCCATGTAGTTTGTGGTTGTCTAACACTAGGATGGCCAATATGAGGCTGCTATTCGAGAACTTTTCCTCCCCATAGGTTATATTATTATCATTATTGGTTTTTCAAGCTATATGGCTGGCCCATTGCCACTTCAGCTTACTTATTCTCAGAACTATGGTGGTTACCTGTGTTCAACTGTGGATGTCTTCATTACAAACTTTATCACACAGAGAAATACCAAGCATATCCTGTTTCATAGCTCACTGAGTAATTTTCAGCTTCGTCCTATGGCCAGTAGTATTACAATATGACCATATTATTGTATTAATAGTTATTTTTAATTTATTAGTGAAAAGAAAGAAAGAAGAAATACAGTTATCTTGTTTCAGATTGTACATTAGGTGAAAGAGTTGAGGTTTATGGTGATTTGGATGGTCGTTGCAATAGGGGACTTAAAGTGCCTTATACTGGGAAAAAAATATATGTTGGAACTGGTTATTTGAAAATGCTTCGTCATGATTTATTTGACAATGGTGCTCTGCCTAGGTCTCTTTAAAAAAAGTGTCTTAATTCTATTGAATTCAATTTTATTTGTACTCTAAAGCAAATTTCTAATTTTAGTGGTATCGCTGTTTCCATGCTACTACCAGCATCAAGGATACCTGTTATAAATGAGACAATATATCCTCAGGGTCATATTTTGTTACAAAATCTTCCATCTATTGTAGTTGGTTGGGTAATAAATGCTCAACCCAATGAGCTTATTCTTGACATGTGTGCTGCTCCAGGTAATAAAACTACACACTTAGGTGAAATGTCAGCCAATCAGGTGAGTTTCGTCATTACCTCTAATCATTGTGGAAAGTAAACAAATCAGAAGAATTTTAAAAATACTTTTTACAATTGAACAATTGAAAAATATATAATGTTATTGCCTTATAATAGGGTCCTTTTATATCTATTTAATTTGCTGGAAATTGTAATTTATCTAGAATCATAAATTATTATCTTGTTCTCTAGTAAACAATGTATAATTGAAAAATACTAATTTACAACAGTTGGGATTAATTTACGATGGGGACTAATTTACGGATGTTGGGTTGCTCTCTCACAACAGTAGTTGCAAAGTGGTAAGGCCACCTAACTGCGACGGTGGTGCCTCAAACAATTCGACAATGATATACTCGAAGCTGCAGCCACTGTCGTGGTCCAGAGGCTCACACAAAGCGTGTTTTTCCAAAATACTGAGCGGAGTCAGCTTGGTTCCAAGCTTGGATATTTTGATGCTCCAGGCCAGGTATTCCAATCTTAAGGCACTGATGTCAGAAGTTATTGCGCGACAGCCCCGTGATTATTTGCGGCTCGACGACTATACCAGATTAGAATCCAAAAAACAAGCTGCCAACTGCCACACGCAATCTAGCTGGAAAGAGAGAACTATGGGGGTGCCCTAACAATATTTTTTGGTTAAGGTCCGGACATAAGTCCTACTGCTGACGGAGACCCCGGATTCCATTTTCGTGGTGAAAAAGCCCGGTCTGAGGAATTGGAGGTACCTTATTAGAAGATGGGCCAAGCCATCGAGATGCCTCAGAAGCCGACATATTGCACGAGGCCCTCATGGAAGGCATGGTCGAGTCTTGGTGTTAGCTTGCACGTCAGGAGCATCCAATACTTACGGTCGGGAAGCGTCAGTATTTAGTCTTTGCTATCCAGTAAGTGGTCTTTGCTATCCAGATGACCCTCTTATTCTTCCCGACATGGACAGCATTGAGACCACCAACTAGGCCGAACTTACGGTGGCAAGCACCGTAGATAAAATCCATGAACTTGGTCTGGGATTAGCGCCACAAAAGACTGGCGCATTGTTTCCACCAACTCCCGAGTAGATGGGATCCACCCAGCTGTTTGTTTTGCATTGGTGACGTGAATTCCAAGTAACATATGAGATAAATAATCTGGGTTTTACTCTGGATAGTCGTTTTAACTACGAAGGGCACTTCAACCGCCTCGTCCATCGAATCGAGATGGTGGTGGGTTCTAAGCGCAAACTGCTGTTTATTCTTGGGACACTGGATTCAGAAGCAATGGAAGCGGAGGCCGTGATCGTTGATTTAGTGTACACGGTAGTGGTAAGAAGCGGTAGTAGTGCCAATGATGATAAGGAGTCTAGGAAATCGTCAAATGAAGAAATCGAGGAATATCGGAAAAAGTTTGCTCTTCTCGCGTGCAGTGAGAAAGCTAGGCACCAGAGCAAGGAACATTTGTTCTTTAGGGAATCTCGGTGCCTCAAAGATACTGAAGGTGGCCAAGGAGCGGGTTTTAGTGGGTAAGAACCCCACATAACCTGTCTTTCCCAAAGTGACAGGGTATAATTTGAAGATTTCCCCACACAAAAGCTTCCACTGTTAATAATAAATGGGCAGGCTTAACTGGGTAACCACTATGGCCTCACAGAAGACCCTCATGAGGTAGAATCATATTATTGCATTTTACCTAATAAGTGAGGTATACTTGATTTTAAGATGTCCATGGGTGATAGAAATCACTTAATACCAGGGGAACCATCTGCTTGCTTGACAATTTTTTATGTAAAAGAAAAATAATATGTAGATGGGATAGTATAACATATTTTTTTTAATTCAACATTAGCATTCATGTAATGGTTAAAGATGGGATTATTTAATATTCTTTTTTTTTAAATATAATTTTTAAAATATAGGCATAGCTGATTCTATTTTTGTTACAGGCTCATATTATAGCCATGGATAAAATAAAACAAAGAACTGATAAAGTAGATAAAAATTGTCAAGTTCACGGATTAAATTGTGTTAAAGTATTTTGTTATGATTCAACTAAATGTTATGTTGAAAATAAGGATGAAATTGATGCAATTGAGGATCGAACAATAAAACCTCCATTTAAATTAAATACTTTTGACAAAGTACTTTTAGATGCACCTTGTAGTGGTTTGGGACAACGGCCGCAATTAGTAAATAAAATTTCACCAAAGATGTTGGAGTCCTATAAATTTATACAGCAAAAACTGTTTAATGCGGCAAGTATTTAAAATTTATCTGTGTGAATAAAAATTTATAAACATATATGCTATTAGAAATTGTGATAAATTGAAAATATGCCAGTTGTATATAAATTTTGCCAAGTTTATAATCCAGTGTTTTACTCAGAGAGCATTTTTTTTATTTTATAGTTGTAACCTGCTGGTACATTTTGAACAAAATTTATTTTAGGCTGTCAAGGTATTGAAAGTTGATGGAATACTCGTATATAGTACTTGCACAATTACCGAAGAAGAAAATGAAAGAATGGTTTCTTGGGTCCTTCGAAAATTCTCAGGTTTAGAGTTGGTTCCTGCAGAACCTCTTTTAGGAGGACCTGGTTTACCTAATACTGGGTTAACGGATGAACAAAGGTCAAAGAATAATTTACATTTTATTATTTATTCGTATATACTTAAATAACTATTTAATGATTTAAAAACTTCAGTAATACTGTATATTTTTTGTATACAGCGTGTCGGTACCATCGCGACAATAAATGAACAAACGCCTAAAGCTACTTGCCAATAATCATAAAAAAATATTAACATTAACAAAATCCATAATTTAAAAAAAAAATATTTTTCAAACAAACTAATTAAGTAAAAAAGAAACAAAATTTGTAACATCCTATACAACTCGCGCCACAGCGTCGTATTACAAGCCTCTCCTTCTAACAGTATGTTTTGTCTCTTTTAAATTCATTCAACCCATTCATATGCTTTGTGACCTTTACAAATGAATTTTACGTTAAGCTTTTATAGGTAAGGGTGTTCTAAAATTCTTTGTTTTGGAAAATTTAATAACTCTGTAAATATTGATGTTTAAAGAATTTAAATGTTTAATACAAATTTAAAAAGTTATCCCCTATACGTGTGTTCATTTATTGTCGCGATGGTAACGACACGCTGTATACTTATAGCCATACTAGCTGCTGTCCGCGACTACGTCTGCGTAGATATATATAAAAATATGTACATAAATTATAGCCTATGTCTTTTTCTGATGTATATACTATATTATTTTAAAATTTCATTAAAATCCATTCAGTAGTATTTACGTGAAAGAGTAACAAACATTCATCCATACATACAAATTTCCGCCTTTATAATATTAGTAAGGATACAGCATGATGTTACAACCGCGACCTTAAATGAACACACTTCTGAAGCTACTTGCCAATAATTATAAAAAAATATAAATGTTAAAAAAATCCATATATAAAAAAATAATTTTCAAACAATTAACTACAATAAGAATTACTACTATTAAGCAACATAACAATGTCAATCATTAAAATTACTTTTATTATTATAATACAGTGAATTCGAAAATTTGACAATAATACATTTTATGGGTACGCATTTAATGAAGTACATTTGTCCACAGACTTATGGTACAACGGTTTGGCCCCGAAAATGACCCTATAAGGCCTGTTAAAGACATTTACAAAAACAGCATAGGATTTTTTATTGCAAAATTTATAAAAAGAAAATGAGTACTTATAATTGTAGCTAAACAAAATCGAATGTTGGTATACTTCTTTATGTAAATACAAATCGAATTTATTTACAGTTTTTCTGTTTTTATCCCTAAGCCAAAAGCAGTTTCAATAATATAGATTTTGTGTCTATTATTATGGGATTTTCAGTTTTTGAACATACAGAAAGTTTATCCACAGTGACACAACAGAAAATTTGTTCAGTAAATACAAACATTCTAGATGGATCGTTACTGGAGCAAGATTATCAAAATCAAAATCAAAAATATTATATGAATGCATTCACTGTGTCTTGTTTAACACGAGTATGTTAACTTGCATAAATACATAAATAGGTATTTATAAATTCAATAGTTTTATTTTAGGGTTCCGTACCTTAAAAGGTAAATAAAGGACCCCTTTGAAGATCAATCTCTAATCCGCCTGTCCGTCTGTCACCACCGATTTTCTCAGAAACGGGTGGACCTAGCATGTTGAAATATATACCAGATACACTGTGTTCGACAACGCATCCCGTTCGAGCCGGGGTGCCTCAAGGGTCGGTGTTGGGCCCAGTCCTATTTACGCTCTACACGAACGATATGCCGCGTATTAAAGATGTCGACAACACCTGTCTCTCTGCCACAGGCAGAACGCTAGAAATGATCCAAGCTGCGGCCATCACCATCGGTGACTGGTTTCGGCAATGGAGGATCCCGCCAAAAGCGCGGCCTTCCTTTTCTCACACAAAAATGTATCTAATCCATCCGCCGTTAAACTCATGGATAGCCCGGTACCATGGGTGAACAAAGTCAAATACCTAGGTGCCGTCCTAGACTCCAAACTTAAATTCAACCAGCACGTGACTCGGGTCAAGAACCGGGCGGCCTTCAACTCGATCGCATCTATCCGCTCATTAACAAAACGTCAAAAATGTCCCTTCGGAACAAGGTGACTATACAGCGTGTCGTTGAACCGCGACAATAAATGAACACACATATAGAGGATAACTTTTTTAAATTGTATTAAGCATTTACATTCTTTCAACATCAATATTTACCAAGTTATAAAATTTTACAAAACACATTTTTAGAACACCCTTACGTACAATACTGTACATGTGTAAGTAAACTTTACGTTTAAAACGTAAAGTTCATTTGTAAAGGTTACAAAGCATATGAATGGGTTGAATGAATTTAAAAGAGATACTGTTAGAAGGAGACACTTCTAATGCGACGTTGTAGCAACGAATGAAAAAGTCTCTGAATGTATGAATCAGTCAGTTGTAATTGTATAGGATGTTACGAATTTTTTTTCTTTTTTATTTAATTAGTTTGTTTGAAAAATATATTTTTTTAATTATGGATTTTTTTAACGTTTTATATTTTTTTTTGATTATTCGCAAGTAGCGTTCGACGTCTGTTCATTTATTGTCGCGGTTGTAACGACACGCTATATGAGGCAGTAATGCGCCCTATCATGACGTACGCGAGACTGGTCTTCGCGCACATTGCCCCGAGGCAAATACACCGGCTTCAGGTTATCCAGAATCGATTCTTGCGCAGAGCTACGGGAGCTCGTGGTTAATGCGCAATATCGACCCACATGTTGATTTAGAGTTTCCCACCATCGCTCATTTCCTGAAGTCGGCGTTGCGCCGGTTCTTCGAATCCGCTGCCGCGCATTCCAAATCCCCTAGCCGTACGTGCCGTCACCTACAGACCCATGCCGCTTCACCGTTCCGCCGCATTTACTGTAGTTCCCTGTCGCCATCGAAAGGATAAAAAAAGTTACGAAAACACTCGCCGGCGAGAGCGGCAAACATTTACTAGGTTCCGCCACGTACACGTGGCAGGTTCTCCCCAGTTAATGATAGAAGCGTTGCTTGAGTTTCTTCCGCCATTTCTTCGCCCAGCGCCAACGCTTTACAAAGTGGTGGTAATGATAAATCTAGAAATGCTTCCGAGCTTAATCACCATAACGCGTAATAATAATACGCTGAGGTTCAGACTAGGCATCCCGTGCGCCGGGCCACCTCAAGTCCGTCGGATCTGTAAAGACCCTTAAGGCCAACAGAGGCCCAAAAAAAACCAGATACTGAGGTCTACAGTCCCTATTATGTGTATAAAATTAAGGTCCCGAGCCAACACGATAAAAAGATATGGAGAAATTACTTAAGTAAGTACCAAAATTTACCTTAATTTTAATTTTTTTTTTTTGAAATTATCCCTTGTTCTGTGCAGTAAATTTTTAACTATTTGGGTGGTGGAGCAGGGAAAGCGTAGGAGGGGTAACCCCGCTTAGCGGGGCGCAGCGCGCGTATTTCGTCGACTCGACGAGACGCGCCGAGTGACCAAGTCATTCATTACCTACTAGAGGTGGGCCGTAGGATACTATCGATAGTATCATGGAAGGCTTTCGAAAATGTACACAGATGACCCCTATTCGTAAAAGATTAATTGTAGTTTTGGGGTGAGAAATTAAATATTTTAATAAAAAAAATTAAAAACAATAGATAAGACGTTAAAAATTTGAAATAATGAAAAGTTGATTTAACTGATAGAATGTTCTCCAATTGTTGCGTTCAATAAATACAATAATATTTCGTTGTAATTATTTATAAAAATAAAAAAATCTAAAATTTATTCGTAATTAAAAAAATACTTACAAAAATGAAAATCACCAAATCAAAGAAATGTAGGGATTTGAACCCAATAGAATTATTTTATACAGTGTAAAGCATTGATAGACCAAGCAATAAGATAAAACGTTGAAATTACGATTTAGTTGATATGTATTAAATATAAATAATGTATAAATACGAATTATGTGAATATAATTTTCAGTTTCGTGTTTTCGAACGATCTAATTAAATTATAACTCTCAATAATAAATAAATATGGATCATATTTCGTAACGGTGAGCGGAAGACGAGCGGCACAAGTCCATCTGGCAACGCGCCTGAGCGCTAGGCATGGGCAAAAAATATCGACATAAACATATCGATATTTTTCCAAATAAGTATCGTTATATATCGTCGATATTTATATTCCCGATATATCGATATTCGATATTTATTTTCGAGTATCGAATTCGTGTCAATTTCAATATATTTTTAACGCAACTCTGGTTTGGTGTTTAATGTGATGCGTACAGGATAATACTTTTTTTTACTGAGGATTTTATGGTCTGGTAACAAGACTTAAGCCAATGCCACGCAAATACTATTTACTAACGCTAATAAACTATCAGCGTGAGACGTCTTTGACCCTGAAGTTAACAATTTTCAACAAATAAAAAAAAATTGCACATGTAGAAATTTAAAAACACATTTTTTTATATTATATAATTATATTTTAGACATAATTTATCGTTGGAAAAATTTTCAAACATTATTAGACGTCGGCTAACTTCAGTATCATGAGAAGTTGATGAACTAGTTAAATTCTTGGACTATTTAGCGTGGTACTTATGTCAGTTTGCATAATTTTATTTAATGCTGCGCCGTTCAATGAGTCCAAATCGTGTCACTGATTAATATTATACAATTTTATACAATTATAAATTAATAAATTTACAAAAACAAAACACCTTAAAAAGAAGTGAAATTCAGAAATCGCCCTTAAGTATCTAATTTGCCAGGCTTCATCTGTGTTTTCAGAAAGAGTTGCTTCAGCTGTGATTTATTATGTCTATATTTGGATATGAATTTCACTTCTAAAGCTGAATTCATGATTTTTATCTATCGAGAATATTTTTTAAAACAATGGTTCATTAGAATGTCAGATCAAGATTAACTTATATTTTTTTGCTGCTATAAAATGTGTAGATGCATGGATGTGCAGATGGATGCATGCTTGTAAACACAAGCATGCATGCATGCATGCTTTAAAGAAGTCATCAAAGTATCGCTTAATTGTTGAACAGAGGAAATATCATAAATTCAGTGTGTTAACCCATTCACTTTCGCTTTATTTTTTGTGACGTTACCTTGAAATAAAGGCGAGCGCCCAGACACTGAGCTGTCACGGATCTTTGGATTTTTACAAGTTTCAATAAAAATATTGGTAGATAGTTACGTATTAACGCCAGCGCAGCAGAATAAGTTGCCCTTATACGCCAAGCATCCGCATTACTGACCTGCGAGCACACCACGTACATTTGGCCGTGGGAGAAATAGATTATAAGTCAACACCAGATCCTGGGTCTGTCCCCGAGACTTATTCATAGTCATGGCGAAGCAAGCTGGAAATTGTGTGCGCTTGAATTGGAATGGGAAGTGATTGAAAATGATGAAATTTGCCTTTCTAAGAAAGTTACTTTAAGAAAATGAAAATGGAACGAATAAACTAAATTGGACTAAGGTTTCTAAAAATTTTATTTTTTAGAAAATACCAAAAAAAGTATCTTAATTAGAAAAAATATCCCAGATAGAATTAGTGGGTCATTGAATTAACCAAGACAATTTCAAAACCACAAAGAAAAATCAGTAAAAAAGAATTAACCAATAGTAGCCTAGTTAAATCAAGTTTTTTGTTTACTATTCCTAAAAACTAACCAAATCACAAAGCAAATTCAAGAATATTCGTATACCAAGCAAAAAAAATCGTATCTGCTATATAAATTCGCAGTATTATTATTACAAACTTGTAAAAACGTAGCCATAGCGCATTTTAGGAATTTAACGCCATCTAGTTTTTGGGCAGGAACTAATTTGCTATCCGTCGATTAGCCTAAGGTCGATTTCAATTCTATCAATTGAAGAATTTGATAAGTAACACCTTTTTATTTTGAACTAAAAATTTAAGTAATTATAGTAAAATTTTTATCGCTGCTAGCATATATTGTATGGGTGCTAATTTTTTGTATTGCGAACTATGCCATTGAAAAAAATTAGAAAAATTTCAAATTGAGTTAGTAGTTTATTACGTATACCTGCAGCTAGAGAGAACCGATTGCGATGAAACTATACTTGAATATTGCAAGAAAGTTATACTAACACGTTGTCAAAAATCCCGTACAAATGGATCCTGTGGTTTGCGCATATCATGTTTGAGTTAACCGATTGCAATGAAACAAAGCTTCAATGTTGCACAGAAGTTTTATTTATATACTTTTATAAATATTGTTCTATATACTTTCAAAGACAAAATTGGTCCAGTAACTGTGATAAAATAGTTTGTGGCTGCACTGCTTGAAACTGTAGTACTGTCATATCTTCTGTTTGAATGAACAGATAACGATGAAACAAAGCTTAATATATATTGCCACAAGCTAAGCTTAAGTAACCATTGCATTGCATCATCAAAATCCGATAAGTAGCTTTGAAGTTATAAGCGAACAGATAGACAGACAGATTTCAAAGATTGTTTTTATGTATTATAAATATATTGAATGTTATTATAGTATAAGGTAATATACAAGTTGTCCACGTAATTATGTGCATATGAATTGTTTTGGTCAAAACAAAAAAAAATATCAATACATTTATGTAAATACAAATCAAATAATTATATTTACAGTTTTTCTATTTTTACCCATAAGCCAGATTCAGGTTTCAGCAACACTGATACTTTGTCTATTTTTACGGGATTTTGAGTTTTTTTACAGGCAGAAAATTTAAAATTTCGCAACAGCGATACCATAGCGATTTTTGCAGCGACCATTGCAAAACGCGTACCTGAAATAACATTTTTTATGAAATAAATTTAGCTGTTTTAGAATAAAATTCCGTTCACAGGGCCTTTTGAAAATTAAACCAAAACAAGGAAAAATAAGTGAGCAAGATTAGCCATCTCTTTTTAAACGGATGTGATCAATTTTTATTTACCTATGCAGTTCCTTGGTCCAGCACCAAATGCCCAGTACAAGTGAGAGGGTCTATTCTTTTTCTCATCTCCCATAAATCGTTCTGGCCTGAACTCGTATGGGTCAGGATATATTTCGGGGTCCATATGAATACCATAAATAGGAATAGCGATGACGTCGCCTATATTTATTGTAATATTAGTGCCGGGCAAGATATAGTCCTTTGTGCATTTTCTCTCCACCCTACCGATTGGCGGATGCAAGCGCAATGTTTCTAAAATTGAAACACATGAATTAATTTAAAGTATACTACTAACTTTTTACATTTCTGGCTATGATGTGTGTATGTGTTCAATTGTTCAATTGAAACCAAAATTTTTCTATATCTTTTACTTGATTTCAGTCTTTTAGTATTTAAACAGAGGATTAAACTGAACAACTGAATTGAATATTTATAATTATATATATTGCGTAATACTATATAATACTTGCGTAATATTATATAATATATAATTATAGCCGGCGATATTACGTAATACTGCTACTATGCCATTCACGGTAAAATTATGATTACGGACAATTGAGGCTTTCCTATAATTATCGTTAAACACCTTGGATGCACACCCGGAAAAAAATTCACAATTCACAATTTTCCATTAATTTACCGTATACTATGTCATTTTAAAGTAGCATATTTATTTAATTAGTAGGTAAGTAAAAAAAAAGTAACAGCCTATACATGTCCCACAACTGGGCAAGGTCCTCCTCTTTACACTGGGTATCAGGGCATAGGCTACCACGCAGAGGCGCTGTTGATGGGCGGACTTCACATATCTTCGAAATTTTTTTTTTGTTACTTTTTCGAAAATATGCAAGTTTCCTCACAAATCGTGAGGAAACTTGCATTATTTCTTTCACCGCGGAGCACTTAATAAGTCAGCTCTTAAAATTAACAATTTCATTGGTACCGGCACCAGGTATCGAACTCGGGTTGCTCGAGTATATTAAAAATTGTTTATGCAAAAATTGTCTTTCTTGTAGAAATTGTTACGTACCAAGTAAGAATGCTTCAAGATAAGTGAGCTCTGTCAGTAGGTCATATGAAAGTTCCCTTCCGTTTGTAACTTCTTGAATATGCTCGCGCAGCTTTTCCTGGAGATCAGGTTTAACTGCTAGGGTATGAACACCGAAGGACAATAATGTGCTCGAAGTTTCATATCCGGCAGTCAAGAAAAGAAATAATTGTGCGTCTATGGTGATGTCGTCCAAATCTGAAAGAAAATAATCATCTATAGGTACATCACAACTTTAACATATTTATATCACCACAAGTTACATAAAAAAAACATAGTATAACATACGTATTTAGTATGTACCTTGATTTATTAATCTTTAACTTTGACGCAAAAAACGCAATTAATGATGCAATATAACCTACATTATTTCAAATCAAGAAAGAAATAATAAATATTTGCGGACACATTTTTACACAACGTTCTCTAGTACCAAACTAAGCTTGTACTACTGGTACTAGAAATAGTACTGATAAACATGCTTAAATATACTTTTCTTTTGTAAATAAATACATATAACACATATATAAACACCCAGACACTGGAAAGACACTACGTTCATCACACAATATTTTTCCAGCAGTGGGGACCAAATTTTATACCCTAGCCTAGTTACCCAATTTCCTGAAACGAGCTATCGGATTAAATAAATTTATTTTAATAGGTACACTAAAAACACAAAAAGTGCAAATTACAAATGAATGTAAAGGGAATGGCAATAGACTGTCTTATCGCTCTAAAAGCGATTATTCCGAACAACTATCGCGAAAAGAAATTTTGCTAATGAGACATAAAAGAAAAGAGCAGAGGGTGGTGTAGATGAATCGGGAATAAACAGAGGATGAAGGCATTTATACATCCGTGCCTTCATCAAAAAGTTTAAAAAAGGCTAGTTTCGGGAAAAATAAGAAAAAAACAGGAAAGCATGAATTCAGAGTTCCACATAATGAGGTTTTACTAGGTTTTTAAAAGAAAGAAGATACTTAGCTTATCGAATGTGCAAGAGAAAAGAATACACTTTATTGCGTACCCATTTATTTCTTTTCTTTGCACTGAACTTAAATAAAATAGGATAATTCGTCTTTAACCATACTTTGTGTAAAGTGAATCAAAAACTTCCAAAAACCATTCGCTGGGAAGGTTGATCTTTGGACGCAAATGGTGATCACTTTCGGGTATAGATCCATATAAAATATTGAATATCATTTATTGACCGTTATTAGTTTTGTATAAATGAAATAAAAATATTTTAATCACCACGTGGACAGAAGTTAACGGGAAATTGCACTTGGTCGAAACCTCAACGACATGTCGTTAATTGAGAAATTGCTTTATTAAGATTTCTATTATCATGAACTTAACCGCAACTTACGTTACCAAAACAAGTTTAAGTCGCAATTAGAGTAACGACGTAGTTAGGAATTTTTGTGCTATCTTATGGAAGTGGCGCAAATATATCGTTAATTCAACGACATTATAATAATAAAAATATATCTATCAATTATGGACTCAATACCCGTGACTGATCGTACTAACTACTTTCTAACTTAAGCTGATGCTCGGATTTTGTGAATACAAGGCATCTTTCACTTCGTCGATGTTACAAGAACAAAGAATAAAAAAACTGTTTACGTGGTAACATAATCAATTCATGAATATGCGTATGCGGTTTAATTGGGAATGGAATAATCTATGTCACACGCCTGGTCGCGGTGATTTAGACTAGGAGTTTCAAATTCAAAAGGTATAATTTTCAACCTTGACTTATAACTTATTATGATCAAATGAAACTGCAGATAACTTACCGTTTTCAAAATTTAGGCTCTGCTAGAATCTGTTAAGAATATTATAACTCATCGTAACGGATTTCAAAGCATTTATTTTACGTTTTTACGAATAATACTTACGCATAAGTCCATTCGTTTTTTCTTTCTCAGCAGCTTCTATTAGAATTTGTAAGAAATCACCTCTCCTGCACACACAAAAGTAACCGTACAGTATTCTATTGCAAATAAGCATATTATAATTGCATAACATATTTAATACATAATAACATATATGCCCTTATTGTATGTAATAGAAGGTAATAGTAATGTAGTAAATGGTGATTAATATTATCATTACTTACTTAGATTCCGCATTTCTCCTTTCCTCTTTGGTAATTTTTAAAATGTTTAACAATTCTTTGGCGATCTTTGGGTTCATAAATGACAAATCTATGAACCTCATTAATTTTGGTAAGAGAGTGGCGAGTACCAGCACAAGTGTTTTCTTTGATGGTGATATACATGAAAGTTGCCCAGCCAACTAAATTTGTAAAAATAGAAAACATTAAATTGTAAACTTTTATAGAATGAACAAAACGGCGATATTCGAACCGGCGTCTTCTGGTTTCGCGCCCAGACACGTTACCAACTTAGCTAAGCGGCTGATGACCTCTCGGCGCGAAAATCTTGACATCTATCTACGTTCGTTCTATTGCATTTTTAGCAATGCTTGATCTAGTGTGCATACTTTACGGCATACAACACCTTATAAATAACATTCAACGTTGAATATTTGTAACGAGGGATGTGACCATTGCACTTAGAAAACATTAAACAAACTTAAATATAAAAAAGTAATTTTTAATAATTGCTTTTTTTCTTTAATATTATGATGTTATGTTACCTTCACAAAACGAGCATTTTCATTAGTCAATGCGTCAGTTTTCAATCCAAAGGCACAGACACCAATAACTTCTAATGTTAAATGTCCCATCAAATCTTTCATATCAACATCGGACTTATCTACAAAAACCATTAAATGAAAAAATATGTTTGATTTTTATCAAAGATGCAACAATTACGAAAGGCAAAAATAAATAGAATTGAAAATGGACTTAACCACTTTATTTTTTTTTAAAGAAATTAATTAGCCTTAAAATTATAATAGGTATAATTAGCAATATTAATAATGTATTATTCATATTAACTATTCTTAAAGATTTATATTTAATCTTTAAGAATAAATTAACATGAAAAATGTAATCGGCATGGAACTCAGGGTTGCTCTAGGTGCAAATGAATAAAAGACTTACCATATTGCTGTAGAAATTTAACCATTTGGTTGGAACTTTTCTGAATTAGTGGCAACATGTTTTTCAGTCTGGCAGAACTGAAAAACGGTGTTATGGTGCTTCGAACACTTTTCCATTCGGATACCTATAAAAATTAATTAAATTTAGCATTACTACTGCAATTCCAATACAATTACATTCAATTCAATGAATACGGTTTTTTACATGGACACAGTCATGTGTATGGTATTTTACGTTATTTAATTACCTCCAAATTGAGTAGTGAACGTTTTACAAATTTTGGCTGATTATACATAGTTTTATTCCGATCCATGAAATGTTCAAAATCACGAATAGTTATTGCTTTAATGAGGTCTGGGTCAAAAACGTAGAGAAACAACGGCGAGTGCTTTTCGATTTAGAAATCGCCCGTTTGATGAAAAAATAGATACACTCGGTATCTTACTATACCCCCTCAGCCCTTGTGATATATCGGGCATTATTACGGATTGCTGATTTGCTAATAAGGATTGCTAATAGGATGTCGTGACTGACGGCTTTAAAGGCATTCGAAAAATCTATTAAAACCATGTCATTAACTTCGATATTTTCCATACCTGTCTTAATATTGCCAGTCACTTTAAGGAGGGCGGTGGTGGTACTGTGGCCAGATCCAAATCCAGATTGTAAAGGACTTATCAATTTGTTACTAAGAACAAAGAGAGAAAATTGCTTGAGAACGCAGGACTCAAGCACCTTAGAAAGGAAGGGTAGTATAGAGAATGGTCGATAATGAGCGAGAAATGAAGGAAAGGAAGGGCATTTCGGCAGTGGACGCACAAGAGTGTTACACCACAAGGAATCCAGTATCCATGAATGATGAATTAATTCGATCCTCATCTAAATTGCGTAGAATTAGTAAACAAACGTTTTGAAGAAGTAGTATTACAAACGTTTGTGTTTTATATATTACGAACGAGTATGCTGAAATTTTTGGATAAAAAGGTTAAAAATCATAAAATTAAAAATTTGCACGACGCAGAATTAGGCAATAAGATTATATACAGGATCTCAGCCTGAGGAAGTCGAAAAAAGTAATTCAATTTCATTCAATAAAAAATTTGTCCTTTTTATAAATGTAGCCACATCTAATCTTCTCTAAAGAATCTTGGATTAACCATTGATCCCTCACTCAACTGGCGTGCGCAAGTAAACGAAGTCAGGAGTTAAGTTTATTACAACTTAAGGAATTTATATAGATTTAAAAATTTCTTACCACCTATACTAAAAAACTTCTAGTTCAATCCTTTATGGAGTATAAAGGATTGAACATTTGGATTGCGCTGATGTCTAATACTCAGATGCAAACACTGATGTTCTTAGCAAATTGGATCGTCTCCTCAATCAACGTATTCGTTTCATTTATGGTGTTCGGAAGTTTGACCATATTTCTTCATATCGCTCCCAAGTAAATTTGTTGATTATCTCCCAACGGAGGAAACTTCAGATTCTCTGTATGTTTTATAGTAGATATCATTAACAAAGGATTCGCCCCATCGTACCAGAAGTCAAAACTTCATTGCCTGGGTACCTCCCATAGCTGCATTCTTCGATCTGTCGATAGCCTTACTTTACTTACCCTCCTCACTGTACAGGTTTTCTCTCTAAATAATTATGGCGTCATATAACAGTAATTTGGAAATCTGCGTCATATCTTCTCGTCGCCACTACCACAATGCCTAAAAAGCAGGGTCTACAATCAGTGCGCCCTGCCAGTCATGACATACGGGGCCGAGACGTGGAACATGACGGTGAGGCTGGCCCACCGATGTGTGATGACATGTCGCTCAGCGAGCTATGGAAAGATCTATGCTCGGTATTTCGCTAAGGGATAAAATCCGAAACGAAATTATTCGGCAGAGGACCAAAGTTGTCGATAAAGTCCGTAAGTGTAGCAAGCTGAAGTGGCAGTGGGCTGGCCACATCTGTCGTAGAACCGATGAGCGCTGGAGCAGACGGGTTCTCGAATGGAGACCACGTCTCGGAAAACGTAGTGTCCCCCTGCCAGGTGGACCGATGACCTGAGAAAGCTCGCTGGTAGTGGCTGGATGAGGAAAGCGGAAGATCGTACTCTGTGGCGTGCTCTTGGGGAGGCCTATGTCCAGCAGTGGCCTGCAAAAGGCTGATTGGATTGGATAGGATAACAGTAAATAGCATTATACTACGTAAAAATGAAATATACAAAAATAAAATTACTATAAAACCTTAAATTTAGCAGTCATTTAAATGTTTATAGTGCTAACTCTGCGCTTTTTTTATGCTAGAAGATGGCAGCGAGCGGGCGGTTCTTCCGTTAAGTGATAACCGTAGCGCATGTACATTTGCAACACTCGTAGGTTTGAAGATGCTTTTAATGAAGTGGGGCCCGGCTATCTTAACAAAGTTAGCGCAAAAATATAACTCTTCCACTTTACGCCGGTGTTCTGTGAGGTCGTGGTACTTCCCCGGACGGACCTGCCCGTTCGTGCAACAACGAAAACGTGTCGCGACGTATGGTAGGGCCACCATATCAGCACTTAAGATAAAACATTAGATAAAAGTTAGAAAAGTCTTCGTACAAAGTTCGCCGCTTTGAGAATCAAACCCACGTCTTCGGGATTCGCGTTCAGACGCTTTAAGCAATAAGCTAAACGGTTGATTGCCACACCGACGAAAATCTCAGTCTTTTATTTACATTTTTTTTCACATTTCAACTCACTGCTTTGCTCACTGATTGTTATATCCTTTACAGCATACGGCACTTTTGGCATGGTGGTAGATTTAAGTGGATATTTACAACATACTGATTTATTAATTAGTACCATAATGTCGAGAAAAATATTTATTATGAGATAATATAATATTGATTAACATTTTATTTACTTGGAAAATGAATGACACATTATTACTCGTAACTTACAGTCGGGCATAAAGGACTGATGGATACGCTTAATTTATTATTAAGGGATCGTTGTCCTGCAAAATTGCAAAAGTAAGGTAGATCAGTAATAGGTTCTATTAAAGAAAGTTGTATAACCTATTACCGACCCAATTAAATGTATATGTCGTGGGTATACTTCACCACCAAAGTAGTTAAAAATTCACTGCGTACAGCGCCTTAAAATTGAAATTTAGGCAAATAAAAGCTGTATATCGTGAAAATTAGTTATCATTTGTGTTTATGAAAGTATTAAGAAGGTACCAAAATAATTGTAAGGTACCTTTACATTAGATTACTTTTATATTATATTTTGTACTAAAAAAGAAATAAGTGACCTACGTGAGTTACGTAATCGGGAGCGTGACACTATGAAATATGCGCTGCGCTATCTCCAGACGAAAGACGACGAAATGTGCAATTATTTTTTAAATCGTTGATTTACACAACAAAGCAAGTAATAATTATTTGCAATACAAATACATCTATATTTTCTCTAAAACAACTATTTGTCTAATTTTAATGCAACACTTAAAAATAATAGTTTCATGAAACGGGCGGTAATGGGTGCCAATTTTAAGGGATCATTATTAAGTGTGTTTACCTTAATAAATAAATTATCCTAGAGAAAAAGCGGTACTCTTCGAGTCCAGTGCTGAGCCACTTGCATCTAAATTTACACAGGTGGTCACTCCATCTAATTCTACTTACCTGAACTATGTAAATTAATGTTTTTACTCTTAACAGAAATCGTATTTTAATAAAAATGTCACAACTTTCAGAAAAATAATTTTATTATCACATTAGATTGTGGTTATATGTTTCTGTCTTGTACAAAGACACATTATATGTATACAGCGTATCGTTACAACCGCGACAATAAATTAACGCATATAGAGGATAACGTTTAAAATTGTATTAAACATTTACATTCTTTAAACCTCAATATTTACTGAGTTATAAAATCTTTCATAACAAACAAGAACATCCTTACGTTTAAAACTGTAACGTAAAGGTCACAAGCTTATAAATGGGTTGAATGAATTTAAAAGGGATAAAACATACTGTTAGAAGGAGAGACTTGTAACGCAACGCTGTGGCAATGAATTAAAAAGTCTCTGAATGTATGAATCAGTCAGTTGTAGCTGTATGGGTGTACAAATTTTGTTT